TCCATTCCTTCCAAGAAATTCACCATTCTTATCTTCCATTGTGGGTATTCTTCTCGTTGAAGAGTTGGAGGCTTGGTAAGAGAGCCAACACTATATATAGAATTCCAGTTGGCCATTTAGAATTTTTGAAGAGAAAGATTTTATGTTTGAAGAGAAAAAAAAAATTGAGATATTTTAGATGATCGTTTTGATTGAAGAACAATCAATTGGCTCTGATACCAATTGTTGATCCCAGATCTCTCAATAACACTAATAATCGAGTTAAGAATAATCAAATTATAGTGTTTTAATGAACAAAGTGATGAACACTCAAGAATAAATTATGAACATTAAAGAACAATCTTGAGCGTCAAAGGTTTTACTTTTATTAATAAGAAAAGCGTAAAAGAGACATTTAGTACAATAGGCCTAATCACCTATTTATACTAGTAAGCTAATTAGAAGATAACTATCTATTGAGACTTTTTAGCTAATCTTCTATTAACAGATAATGTTTATCTAAAATATGAATAAGCTTTAATATTAAGATAAACATGAAGTATAGCTGTCGACTTGTCATCTTCAGCTGTCTTCCATGGTATAATGAATCAACCTTATCTTTAAATCTTCATCGTATGCCACTGGTTGAATTGCGGAAGAATTCTCTAAGTGTTGTTGACCAGAGGGGTGATGAAGATGCTCTTTCCATCGCATCCCTGGTTGTTCATCGACCCTCTGGTTGTTCTCCAGACTTAGTCAATTCTGCCTTGATGTCTTCATCGGTCTTCTGGTTCTTCATCACTTATTATTTTTATTACTTTTACACTTTATGGATTATGGGATCTAACACCTTTTTCTATGGAGGTCGCCATGATATTCCAACCACAATTATCTCGCACACATACAACTTCTTATCTGGTTTTTGAAGACCTATTTACTTTAAACTCGAAACTCTCTTCAAGAAACTTCATTCTGAGGTCTATTACCAGTTCTTATATGGTTGGGAATAACTAACCCACGCTTATTCTTCTTCTTTTTCTACTTACTCTACTACTAATTATGTCTCCCGAACATACTCGGGGTTATAGTCCTCAAGACCATATTTATGCTCTAGAAAAAATTCTTCGTCATAGGAGCAGTCGTATTGAGACTCGGGGTAAGGAACATACGTTCCTTGAGTCTGACATTAATCTTGGGTTTAGGAGTAGTCATACATTATTGGATTAAAACTACCCTCGACATCTTTTTCAGTGTTGGAACTATCACCGACATCGCCTCCATCACACATCGAAAGATCAACATATGCATAAGGTATATGAGGGTTATTTAACTCGATAGCAAATTCCATGAAACCACGAAGATCGTCATTGTCACCTAACTCATAAGTTGAACCATCATACTTGTAAACTAACTTGGTTATACCAACAGATTTGTTGAAACCAAATTTTCCCAAAACATAACCGACCAAGCTTGGATGTGTAATGTTTGTGTGCAATTGTACAACATGGTGCATCGTTTCAACAGAAGAAACATACTCTGACTTATCATTTGTTTTCACCCATCAGCACAAAGATGTAACATAATTGTTTTGGGACCTGAACTCGTTTTCGAAGAAGTTGAAGAAAAGAAAGATATATGGTGAACAAAAAAAATAAGTTGATATGATTTTTTTTTGTATATCTTCATCATTCCATCATTCATCTTTTACAATTATTGTACCATGTGGAATCAATTTCAGGCTTTATTGAAAAAAAAACAATGCACATCCTCAAGTAAAACATATGTGAAAAAAAAGGGGAAATGAGATTTTTCCCCAAAATTGTGGAGGTCAAACTAGTCAAATTGCTTTGATCGTCTTTCTCTGAGGAAGAGGCAAAAGCGTCTGTAGGTGGCTTTTTAAGTCTGCCATCAAATCGGAGATCAAACATTCCAAATTAGGGTTTCTCACGTCCGTAATTGCGGACTTGGGTAGAAACTGTGAATTTTTTGAAGTCAAGGACCAGGTCCGTAATTGCGGATGTGCCACTTGTGGATGTGAGTAGGAACTATAATTTTTTCTTTGTCGTTTAACTACCTCTGAAGTCAGGACCTGCCACTTGTGGAGCTAATGACATTTTGGTGATTGTTGAAGAGAAATGGATACGAGGTGAAACTACAAGACGAAAGTGACTATTTTAATTAATTTCTCTAGTAAAATTTGATGTCCTTATAGAAAACTCTTTACTTCCTTTTTTCGGTTTCTTTCCATGTACTTTCCTTCTTGTATATCTCTACTCTGATGCTTTCAATCATCTTTTATTTGACCACAAGATGATCACTAGAATAGATATTTTGGAGATTGGAGGTATATCTTTGCTCCAACAGCTATTATATACCATTTGTTAAAAAAGAAAAAAAAAAAGACATAAATCTTTAAATGTAGAAAAATCTCTAAAATTCTATATTTAAAAGAAAGAAATAATATTTAATTTTTTTCTATCAAAATTGGAGAAAACAACTTTAACTTGTTAGCCAAAAACAAATTCTTTTACGTCGGTGAAATATTATTTTAAATAAATAAATAAAAAGTCAAAATGTGTTTCCCACATGAGAAACAATCACATGCATTGATAAAAATTCAAGTTTAAATCGCTTTTCAGTTGCCTTCATAATTTTGGTCAAGTCAAAGCTTTATTTTAGGTTATATTATACCATGTTAAAATATTAATTAAAAATAAATTTATCAAAAATCAATATATATTATAAAAACAATTAAAAATGATGAGATGATATCATATCAAGTGTAATGAAGATTCTTATTAGTTTAATATTTAATAGATAATCGATAAATCCATGCAATTAATTTGTGTTTTTTGTAAAAAAAAAAATTATCATCATCATGTAGCACGTGACGTTCAATACTATTATATATTACTTTTAGTCAAACTTTTTATTTTAGACGTGAGGCTTACTTGATAGCCACATATCAAGAAATAGTTTTCTAGGTTCACATTCTATGTCGTGTATTATTGATTGGTTCAAGAGATGGGAAAAAGTTGAAGGTTATTTTCAAGAAAGTTGTAACCACTTCTGAAAACAAACTAGACATCTATATGTTGATTCCTTCCTCAGCTCTCTTATTTTTCGTTTTCTAACCATTGACCTTTTGTTTCCAATGATCAAAGTTACTATATTCTCTTTGTTCTACAACTTAATTAATTAGTTGTAGTATTACAATATAAGTGTATTTCTAGCGGCTGCAAATCCTTTTGCTATACAACTTTTGATCACTCTAGTTAATGAGATGTTTAGTGTAGAAACTATCATAATGTATGACGAAGATTAAGCCTTACACAAGCACTCCTGTGCAAACCAAACTCCTCCTACCAGCAATTTATCCGTTACATTTCAACTAGTTATAGCTCGGATCAGGTAATCAAACATTGTAGTCGACAACAAAACCCATCATTCACATTGGACAAGTCAGCGGTTTCTATTCGTTTTGGGGTTTCCTGCTTCACCAAATGATACGTACCAACTGATACGTGGCCTTTATTTTCGACCAATTGCATTTCAAGTCTTTGTTAATTGTTTCTTTATTCATATTTGTTTGATCGTTACCATTCAAACTAGGTTTTTAGTAAAAAAAAAAAAACTAAAATCCATCCATAACAAATCTCATGTTCTTTTGTAATTCATTGTTATTACTTAGATGCAGGAAACAAATTTCGTTTGTGGTACGAAATGAATTGAAACAGTTGCAGAGGTTTATATATATAATTACATATGACAAACAACAATGAACATCACTAACTTGGTTATCTTGATGGGAATCCAACAAAGAACAAGTCTGATATTGAGGCCTGCAGTGGCAGTGTCCTTAGACAGAAATTCATCCGGTGTATGGTGAATTGGACGTCTATCTAGAGGATACAGCAATTTGTTCAAGAATCAAACTTGAAACTGATGAATCTATTAGTCTTCCATATGAAATCGATCAGAATCAGAGAGGCGAAAAAAATACCCAGGAACGTCCTATTTCGTCTGCCAAAAAAAAAACGAGAATTGGAGGGTGTATATTTCGTATATAGAGATTTAAAACAAAAACAATTCACAACGAAAGGATACCAAAACGCCATGCATATTATATTGTTTTTATGAAGGTTCAAAATGGTGTGTGTCGTGGTGGCGAGGTCAAGCTTCAAGCTTTAGAAGCCACGGTGAGGTCGCGACGTTTTTTAAGACGTGACTTATGATAGAAAATTTCTATATCATATAAATTATCATACATATAAACATATATTTTATACTATTACTCATTGAGTCAATGATATTAATTAATTTTAAATTATATCATGCCCGTTACCATTTCATCAGAATGATTGGAATCATGCTCATCAGAATCTGCACTATCTTCCATCTCTACCCCTTGAGCTCTCGAAAACGCAGCCACTTTTGCTTTTTGATCTCCCCCTCACGGTGATCAGGATCCTTCTGGTCATCATGTCTTCGTTTAAGAGAAGTGGTTTTGAGATCGGCAAGTAGTTTCAAGAACTGAAACTCTTTCTGACAAAACATCAATTGAGTTCTGAAGATTTAGGATACTTTGGGATGAAGAAGCAATTGTTGAACCAATCTTTAATAAACTTGAAACAAAAACACTTTGAAAATTATGAAACTCTTAGGCTTTAAGGGCTTCAGATTCTTCCAATGAGTGTCTAAGCAAACCAACCAAGTCTGCGTTCGTTGAATCCATGTTAGGTTCAGAAATAAACTTAGCATATAGCATGGACTTCAGATCATCCACCGAAAAGTTTGGTTCTTGTTGAGGTTGTGGTGGTGGCGGCGAAACATGACTTTCTTCTTCAACAGTTGGATGCTTTCCCTTTCAGTAATCTCTTCAAACCATTGATTTCTTCTATTAACGTATCCTGGATAGCCTTTAGGGCCGCGTTCATAAATTCCATTGACACAAAGTCAGGTAAAGTAACACCTGGATCACTTAGATTACCAGTTGAAACAATAGTTGAATAAACTATTGTGCCTACGTTCAGCATTGGAATAACGTTAGCACTGGTAGAACTTCCAACCTGTCCTTGTAAAATATCAGTTGACTATATTTCATGTCGTTTCAGCTTGTTCACAAAGAACTCTAAACTCTTGTGTACCTATAGTGTTTAAAGGCTCTAGACTCAATATGGTAATCAAAGAAGTTGTAGACGAGGGCTGCTGTCTACTATTTTTAATATCTAGTTCCTCCGAATGAGGAACAGATAGATTATGTGTTAGATCCTCTTGAGAAGATGGAACTGATACCTGTTGAGAGGCATTAGAGTGGCTAGGAGGGGTGTGCATTTGCATAGTTGGGTGGAATATGTCTTTTTCAATGTCAACATTTAACGAATGAATGTCAACAGCAGATGTGGTTACCCCACCGAGTCCATCTCATTTACATTTTTCCTCATCTCACAACCCTGTTCAAATAACCCATGTAATTGAACGCATTCGTCTAGACGTAGACCCTCGCTACGCTCAACTGAGGCATGAGTTGTTCCCTAGGTAAGTCCCTCCTGCTCTGGGTGGACTGTAGGAACTGGCTCTCTCCTATATTCTATCACATACTAAGTACTCTGATTGACATAGGCAAGTAGTTCATTAGGAATGTTCATTATTGAATCCACATCTTTGACTTCAGCATGAGGTATTAAGAATTGCATCTGGACCGAACTTGTTGTCAAGTCGTGAAGGAATATTCTTATTATTGAGTATCATAGATCTGATGATCAGCTGCAAGAAAAAGTTGAAATGGAACACACTTTCTTGCTTTTGAGAGGAATCTCTTTGCATAAACTAGATCCGCAAGATCGTTCCAGATGACTATGCCATAGTCATAGTGTTTGTGAATATTATGCCATGGAAAAACTTCAGAAACGATGTGTTGCATGTGTCTACGCCCGGGTCTTTGAGGTAAGGCACCTATTCAGAATGGAGAATAGTAGATGTCATACGGAAGGTACAAATTTACGTTTGAACTGCGATGGATGGTTGAGGATTGCAGAATAGCCCATCCTTTTGATGTCAGCACAAAGTTCTTCATCAGAAATAGTCATCAAAGTCATCTTTTCCATGTATGGAATCAGGTTTTGGCAAGTTCAGAATTCTCCAAAATCGTTTTAGTGCCAAACGGCCTAGAAAATGATCAACATTTCCTTCAAAATAAAATTTGGTTCCTTGTTTTATGAACAATAGTGTATGCCAGAATTGTTGCAAATATACTAACGGAACATCAATTGTAGCAGTTAAAGCATAAGATATTTTGTGGCCTTTTAAGATTTCAAGGATAATCGGATATTCAGAAGGAATTTCAAAGTTTAAGTGGTGATTGTTTGGTTTGAGGTCAAGATATAGGGTAGTTGGGAAAATGACTTCATCGAGATCAAGGATATTTACTGACTGGGAAACTGATGGTTGTGAAGATCTGATTGATGGGATAAGATGTTTATCAGCAAAATTATGATGTTCCGCAGTCGTCATTTTTAACCGATAAGATTTAAAGAAAGTTAGATTCATAATAAAAAAAACATTTCCAACATAATAAAAAATTCCCTCAAACTCACTAGCAACACAAAAAAAATTTGCAAAATATTCTTTTCACACCTAGCAAGACATGACAAATTGTTCAACATTAAGCTCTAACAACAACAAAATTCACACAAACATAAAAAAAATACACCTACTTAGAAAAATTTAACTTAAAAAAATTTCACACACACAAATATAGAAAATAAAAAAATTTAAACACTTAAGAAAAAAAAGTTTACACTAAAAAAGTTGAATAAAATAATTAGAAAGAAAAAAAAATACTACTCATCGTTCAACACACACAAAAAAATTACCCAAATAACTTGCACTCATTGCTTAAAAAAAGTTAGCTTTCACTGCTCAAGAGATTACACTCATCGCTCAAGTGTTCATCAGTCATTCCTCATCTAAGTCAATACATATCTTTCAACACACATCGCTCACAAAAAAAATTACAACACTTACCGCTCAAAAATTCATCACTCATCGCTCAAACACTTATGAACACTCATCACTCAAAAATTCAAACTCACACAAATAATCTTATCGCTCAAACATTTCAGATTCAAAAGATTTGATTAAGAACAATCAAAATGAACATCGCACATAGTCCCTATCATTCAAGAATATATCAATATTAAGAATAAGGTTTTTGGTTGCAGTCTTATTACAAACCTTTTAAGCAAATTAGATCAAGTCTAAAGAGTTCGACACAGGTCAAAAGTCCAATAACAGTTCTTGAACAGGAATGAAAATGAAGAAGAATGTATTGAATAAATTAGTCGATGAAAGCCATGTCCGGTGAAACTTTGACTACGTGCCACTTTGTGATTGGTTAGAAATGAAACACACGTTTTGAACAGTACATATTCTTCATCGCTCAACGCTTTGACTGATAAGACACGGTCATCACTCAAGCCTTGTCCGATGAAGGAGTTCATTGTTCAACATTATGTCCGATGAAGAGGTCCATCGCTCAACTCTTTCATCGATGAAGAGGTTCATCGCTCAAGTTTTGGTCGATGAAGCATATTGATCGTTCAAGTTTTAAACGGTGAAGAACCTCATCATTCAAGTTTTACCCTTGAAGATAATCTTCTAGGACTTGGGCGGATTAGTAGCTCATCGCCCAACCCTTTGTCCAGATACCTCTTCCAAGACATATTCATCTCTCATCGCTTGACCTTATCCGAATAACTAGCTCATCGTTTGTGCCTTGTCCGGATAATCACTTCATCGCTCAGGCTTTGAGCAGAATGCTCATCACCCAAGCCTTTGTTAAAAGACTCATCTCCCAACTCTTATATTTCTTCAAACAACCTGTAAAAATATATTAGTTAAGTAACCATTTCATCATTCAGATAAATATGAAAAAAATACTTACTCCCCCTTAAAATTAGACCAGATAAAATTCAAACACCCCCTGGAATGATTACCATAGGATCAAAAGCATTAGATGAGAAGAAAATTAATACATTGGAATGCATTTTGAAAATATAGATATTAGTAAACATATAATTTAACATAAACTAACTTGGATATTAAAAAGTCAAAGCGTTTTTCATCAAAAGCTTTTGTAAAGAAGTCGGCTAGCTGATATTTTGTACTAACAAAATACTATTCAATAGTACCATTTTCTACATGATCTTTAATAAAATGATATCAAATATCGATATGATATGATAGGTTTTTGTGTGTTGAATAGGATTGCAAGATATGACAATTGCGCTGACTTGAGTACACAACCAGATAACTTGAGAATAACAGCTAGCAGTAGCTACATATTCTGCTTTAGTTGTAGATATGGACACGCAGTTATGTTTCGTTGATGCGCAACTCACTAACTTGTCTCCTAAGAATTGTACATGATCCGAAGTACTTTTCTTGTCTAACATACAACCTGCATGATCTATATCTAAGAATGCTATTAGTTCAAAGCCGGTATCTTCAGGATACCAAAGTCTAAGATCAGCTGTCCCTTTTAGGTAACGAAAGATTAGTGTCACAACACTTAGATGGGATTCTTTAGGATTGGCCTGATATCTGGCATAGAGATGTGTTGAAAAGAAAATATCAGGTCTACAAGACGTCAAATACATTAAAGAACCAATCATGCCTTGATAGGTCTTTTCATCTACAGCTTTACCCGAAGGATCAACATGTAGTTTTTAACCCGGAGTCATAGGTGTTTTTATAGATGAACAATTTTCCATATTAAATTTCCTCAAGATATCTTAAATATATTTTGTTTGACAAATGAAAATACCCGAGGATAATTGTTTAACTTGTAAGCCCAAAAACAAGTTCACCTCATCCATCATGCTCATTTTAAATCTAGAAACCATCAAGGGTGAAAAATTCTTACAATATTTAGGGTTTGTACATCCAAATATTATATCATCTACATAAATCTGTATCATGATAATGCCAGACTTTGAAAAGAGTTGTGTCAATTTTATCTTTCGAGAAACCTGATTTTACGAGAAATCCTGAAAGACTATCATACCAGGCTCTCAAAGCTTGCTCTAGACCATACAAAGCTCTATCAAGGATATCTACATGATCTGGCTTAGATTCATCAACGAAACCCTCCGGTTGAGAGACATATACTTCCTCTTTGAGAAGGCCATATAAAAATGTTGTTTTGACATCCATTTGGTACATTGTGAAGTTTTTGTGTGCCACGTCTATAGAACGGGGGATTAGAACGGTGATGCATTGCTTGATCTTTTCATATTCCTTGCAAGATGGTTGGTCACTAACATACTTCTAACCCCCTTACTGCTACAAGAATTGCATGAATGAATTTATGGGTCTTATTTACGAAGAATATGAAATATTGTTGCACAAAATCACAACTTACGACGTGTTTTGTTTTTCTCTACATTTATTGAAATAAAAGATTGTTTGAGTGGCTTGTAGAAAAATAATCTCTTGATCCACAAAGCAACGTGGTGCGGGGATCCTAATCTAAGTCCCCATCTTCGCTGGGGAATATGATCACATCCCTAACAAGAAATGAGGATCCCAACCGGGAGTCGTGGACTTTTTTCCAATTTATTTTAGATATTAAATCAATTGTGTTAAAGACTATACTTGATCAGTAATGGTTTATGTTTAAATCTCACATATTTCTAAAATTTGGTTTTACGGAGAAACAAAACAAAGAAATTGGGATTGCAACGACATCCATAAAGAAAAAGACTACAAGTGCAACTAGGTCAGTAAAACTTCTTAAGAGATTACTTCAATAACTCATTGCAAAATATCTAAAATGTTTAGCAACACTTTTTTGGAATCTTTGAGAAGTGGTTTTCCATCTTCACTTCCTATACTACCCCGAACAATCTACTCAACTAACTTGTACAAGTAGCCAATAGTCTTCTGGATCTAGGTAGGAACCTTCTAGTGCTATCTCGTCTTCTCATATTAACTTGCAAGAATATGATAATATGACATCTCAAGTTGACCCAACTAAAGGCCTAATAGTATATCTTCAAATTGTTTATATTTATTTTATTGTAAAGTTGAGATTTATGATGTATATATGCCATATATTTTTGTAGATTATGAAATGCCTCTGAGAAATATCGTTGCACATAGTACCATTTATCAATCATCAGACAAACAAACAATACATGGAGTTATGCTTAACAACGATTGATATAGAGTCTCAATCAATTGATCAAGAAAGTCAGCTGTTTTTTTACCAATACAAGTTGGTGAGCACAAGATAGTAGGGGATGCAATTGGTAGTTCCTTTGGCTTGGCTAAAAAGCCTCGTCATCCGTTACTTAAAGATTTGTGTCTTATGTAATTTGCTTTTGTTGTTAAACTTTTTTATAGGCATTTTTGCTCCCCTTGTTTAATTAAATACTAATAAATCTCACACTACTTTAAAAATTATGATTATTGTTTTTGGAAAAATGGGATGGAACCTTTTTTCAAAATATAAAAAGGACTACAACTCTAAGAAAAGGCGTACCCTCCTAATTATAAAATGACGCCGAGGGCAACAAAAGCCTAACTCAGAACCCAATAACAGATTTAATGACCTAATTACCCAACTTAGATAAGTCACTAGAAATGGACCAAAAATAAAGAATGTAAAAGCCTATATGCTAGTAATTAACTCTAATAGAAGCATGTCATTACTAATGGATCAAAAACAAAAACCCCTTCTGGCTATTCCCGATCTCCTCCTCCAAATCCCGATCTGCTCCTCTAAATCCCAATCCTTGCCCATCTTAATTTACAATACTAGAATTCAACATATAGTCATTCACACACACAACTGGTGAAACCAATAGAAGCATATTAGAATGGAAAATACTCACCATGGCTTCAAAATATATGTACAATCCGTCAAGCATAAAGTCAACTCTTGGATCTGGTACAAACCAGTCCACTTATCAGCAACCAACATATGAGAATCACCATTCTAGATGTAGCAACCACTATGTTATAGAATAAGCCATATATCAACAGTTAACATTTGAAGAAAGTTAACCGTTATCTAATGTGGACTAAACCACGTATCAAAAACTGGCATATGAAGAAGTCTAATTTCAAACTTGTAGATTATGATCAAATGAACTCATAATGTGGAAATTCAAACATTCCATAAAAACAACGTTTGTTTCAGATCAGTAAAACCACATAATCTAAAGTTGTCGTATTGCCAAAACTTCAGAAAACTATCATTACCACCAATACCCATAGTTATAAAAAAATAAGCATGGTTATATGTAATAAGTTTGCAACCTTGAAACATTTTTTTTCTGTGTCGATGAGTAGTTTATGGCCATGCTTTTAGGAAAAATGCTTCAATACCATAAAAATTTGGATATGTTTATGGCCACAATGTTTTAGGCTATGACTTGGTTTTTCTTGCGATATGGTGACAATTTTAAACGTGGCCATATGGATATCAAAAGTAGTCACGGTAGAATAGGCTATGAATTGATTGAAGAAAATAAAATTGTGGCTAAAGGCCTACGGCTACGTTTTTTAACCGTCACCATTGTGAGATTTTGTACTAGTGTCGTAAATAAAAGGTCGAAATATTTTTGAAGGAAAGTGATTCTACACGATCATAAAATGGTAATGTAGCTATTTAGTAGACCACCCGATATTTTAAGAGTACCGAAGATGTGAAGCATTAAAATGGTAATGTAGCTATTTAGTAGACCACTCGATGCAAAGGATATTAGAAAAGCCAAACAAAATATCACGGGGTGAACATTACAGGTTTATTAAGCGTGCTTCATTTATTGAAATATTTAAAAATACATAAAATAACTTGAATTACATATGAAATAAGCATGAATTCATTGATTTTAACTTTTAGATACAAATATATGACAGGAAATCCAATACGAATTAAGCATATTGATGTTCTCTTTTTTGTTTGAAGATTAGCTTCAAAGGTTCCTCCATTTTCAAAGCAATCCCGAATTTGTCGTTCATGTTGAGCTTCATAGGATCAACATCATTTGGAAGAATCAAGTCGAACTCATGAATCAAAGATGCCAATACAAGTTGAACACTTTTGATACCTGAGGGCATTCCTGGACACATCCTTCTCCCCGAACCAAATGG